CGAAGCTAATCATGCTAAATTCAAAGAGCTTATTGTAAGTGAGACCTGGGATGATGCTACCTCCTCAACGTGCGCTGATGAACAATACAATTCCATCTATCAAACGTACATGAAACACTACAATACTGCATACCCCCTGAAGCGCGACAGTTCGAGAAGAAAATTCGAAAGAGCTGACCCAAAGCCTTGGATCTTACCCTGGCTTGAGGCGGCATGCAACCGCAAGAAGTTACTTTTTTTTGAAAAAACTATAAATCCATCACAAAAAAACTGCGACGCGTATGATAAAATGAAAAAGTTTTGTCACAAACATGTGAATCTAGCCAAAGAAAAGTACTATAAGAAAATGTTTGACAAATACCAAAACTGCTCTAAAAATCAATGGAAAATTATCAATGGCCTCCTGAACCGTAACAGAAAAAAGTTCGGACACACCCGTCTGAAGGACGACGATGGCACGATTATAAGCTCCGATCTGGCAGTCGCTGAGAAATTTAACGGCTACTTCTCCGGTATTGCAGCCAGTATCAAGAGGCAAATCGCTGCCCGTCGAACCTTTGACCCAGGTGGTTTCAAGCATTTTCTTAAGGCTTCGTGTAGTAACTCGATGTTTCTTAAGCCTACATCACACGGTGAAGTCCAAAAGATAATATCAGGGCTTAAGAACAAGTCCACACTCGATTGTAAAATTGAGCCATTGAAAATTGCAAACAGCTGCGAAAACTTTACCAGGGCACTAGCTAATGTCATTAACTGTTCGTTCTCCAGTGGTACCTTCCCAAATGCTCTAAAAACTGCGAAAGTCGTTCCTATCCACAAAGGTGGTTCAAAATTGGAAGTAGCTAATTATAGGCCGATCTCTCTTTTGGGATCATTCTCGAAAATTTATGAGAAACTTATGCATGCTCGTGTTTTAGAATTTTTAGATAAGAACGATTCTCTTTTCGAAAATCAATACGGATTTCGGCCAGGAAGATCGTGCGAACATGCACTGCTCAATGCCCAAAATTCTATACTACACTCTCTGAATAAGAAACAAATTTCCCTACTGCTCCTGCTCGATTACAGTAAAGCCTTTGACGTGCTTGATCATGAGACCTTACTTAAGAAGCTTGACCATTGTGGGATCAGGGGAGTCGCGCACGAATGGTTTAGATCTTACCTTTGTAATCGATCTCAATACGTAACTTTAAACGGAACTTGCTCTTCTAGCATGCCCATAGTTTACGGCGTACCTCAGGGTAGCATTTTAGGACCTCTCTTATTTGTAATTTATATAAACGACCTACCTGGAATTAGTGATTTTGCAAAGTTCATCCTTTATGCCGACGACGCAAACATATTAATTAGTGGAACCACCCTAGAAGAAATACAATTAAAAGCTAATCAGCTAATTTCACGTCTTGTAGATTGGGTAGGTGCTAATGGGCTATCTTTAAATGTAAAGAAGACGTGTTACATGATTTTCACTAGAAAAAGAATCGACTTCAGCGGCTTTAATTTGTCCATTGACAACACTGTAATCGAACGTAAGACTGAAGCAAGATTTTTAGGAGTGATCCTAGACGAAAAGCTCACTTGGCAAAAACACATTACGGCAGTTAGAATAAAGATGGGTCGCTACCTCGGAGTTATGTATAAGCTAAAGCACCTTCTACCTATCAAAGCCCGCCTAAACATTTTCCAAAGCCTTATCCAATCCCATCTAAATTTCTGTTCTTTAGTGTGGGGATTTGCCTCAAAATGTCACATTGAATCTCTGTTCACCAAGCAAAAGCAGGGAATTAGAGCTGTTATGTCAGGATATGTAAATTATAGATATAAAGACGGCAATCCCCCGGAGCACACAAAAAGTGCGTTTAGATTGCATAATATCCTAACAGTCCATAGCGTCATTGTAAAAAACGCTCTTATTCTACTACACAAAGTAAGGAACATGCCAAGCCTTCTCCCTAAATCCATCAAAGAACTTTTCCCTCACGATATTCCCACCTATAATTCCACATACGAACATAACCTTTCTTGGTTCACAACTTACAACGGCCCAACATTTAGAAATACTCTTTTCTTCAAAGGACCCATGCTCTCTATTACAAAACAAAGTAAGGATATAACTATTCCAAGTTCTACCTTTTCAATTGAAATCTTTAAAAATTCAGCTAAGCGCGAACTCCTCAAGCTGCAAAGCTCAGGAGACGATGAAAATTGGCCAAATTTCTTACTTTATAGTATACCTGAGCTAAGAAAGTCTCAAAGAGAAGGGCGCTCGCAGATAGACTACAACACCGAGTTAGTAAGCGACAACGCGTAAAGAAAGATCACTCGCGACAAATGACCATGATCTTTTATCAACAACATATCATTTTAATTTCACTGCCATTATGCAATGCCGAATTTACATCTGCCGCGCAAAACTTTTTATCTATTATTATTAAATAGTAATTAGCATGTTTACAAATTGCGACTTCAACCAGTTTTGCAGACCGTTAGTTACATAGTACTTTTAGTAGGGCATTTATTTTAATATATTTTATTTTACATTATTATATTTTAGTGTGACTTCTATAATTTCATTTATGTAATAACCATTGATTAATAAATTGCGGCACACGCCAACCTCCACCGTGGGGTTTCAAAACAAAAACAACAATTATTGTGGACCATTGTTACAATCCGCCACAGAAACAGCTGACGATAACCGAATGTTCAGGAAAGAAAAAATAGCTGATGCGACCAAAATCATAGAACTACAAGAGAAGTTACTCACCAAGCAAGAAGAAGATATGGCTAAAATCAATGATTTGCAGGAGAAGTTAGCTTTGAAGAAGGATGACGAGATTGGAACTGTGAAAAGTGCAGCTCAGAAAGAGATCAAAACCTTTTCGTCTCTGTTGAAAAACACGTGCAAAAACGCCTTTGCACCGAAGAAGATCCAAGCTGCAGTGAAAAGGGTTGCCCTAGAAGATGATCGAAGTAAAAGCCTGATTATCTTTGGGCTTCCAGAGACGGAGGAAAACCTGGATGCTAAGGTATCTGGTATTTTGTTGGACCATCTCAACGAAAAACCGAAAATTTTGAGATGTAAACGAGTTGGAAAGGACACAAGTGAACGAGTCAGGCCAGTGAAATTCATTTTGTCAAGCTCAGATCAAGCTCGTACCATCTTGAGCAAGACTAAGCTACTAAGACATGTAGACGGGTTTAGTTCAGTTTACATCACTCCTGATAGATCAGCTGCAGACAGAATAGCCTACAAGAAAGTTGTCGACCAACTGATAAATAAAAGGACAGCAGAGCCTGACAAAGTTCATGTTATCAGGAACTTTAGAGTCATTAGCTCGGAGAAGGAGCCTTTAGAGTGATATATTTTCTATAAATACAATATTATATGTTTTAATTCATTGATTAATTAATTTGTTCCTAGGGCCCAATGTTATTGCGGGTGTGGTATTTCTTACTGCACACTACTGTGTTTTGGTTACCCCTCTTTCAATACATAATTTGGGTTTCATACTGGGATAATGGAATTTAGGGCTATATCGGTTTTCTCCTTTTATAACTGGGTTTATTTAGAAGCATTCAATTCTGTATAATTATGTAGGAATTGTTTGAAAAGTTTAAGATTAAAAAAAATGACAGACTAAATGTACGCAGTGAATATTCTGAGTCAATTTTTCTGGAAGTATCATTATTAAGTTAAATTATATAGATTTATAATATTAACCGATTACTCAAGAGAATGCGGAGTTATCATTAGTAGCGGCCGAAATAATCATTGTGCAACGAGATATGGCAAGAACACGGCGGGAGTGTGATGTGGGTAGTGGCTGAAAATACTGGTAGGGATTTAATGATAATCATAGATAAAATTAGACGGCCTGTAGTTCGATGTTGGTTGAATAAGCACCAGAGAGCACGAGAAAATCAGGCAGACTTGTTGACAAGACAGTGCGTGCTATAGATTAGAATGCATTTAATAGAGAATAATGAGTTTTCGGAGCATACAGCATAGGCGGGCCGTATTTTGGTGCGGCACATACAGGGCTGGTAGAGGAATATATAAGGTCGGACGGACGGTCGAGAAGGAGATTGAGTTTTCCCGATTCGATAGAGCGTCATTGATGCCGGACTGTAAGGGAGCCTGAACTGGTGGTTTGTCCTATCGAAGGATAGTTGGTGGTCGGAACCTGTAACTCTGGTTGAGTTCTGGTTGGCCTAGAGAGGGATTGATAGTAGACATAATGGCATGGGTCATGGCGGATTTAAGCTAGGAGTTTCAGCGTGAATATAGACAAGTATTGACGGCCGACTTTATATATAATAGTATGTCTGGCTATAGTATGTGTATAGTGATTGTATTTCATGATGTGATATGTTATGGTAGGATAAGATCATTAGATCGGTGGGCGATTTTGGGCAATATAAGTCTGGTGAACTAGGAGTTAAAGCAGGAGTTTGTCGAATTATTCATTGTATTGTTTTATAGTTTAATATCTTGTAACCATCGTTATTACTCTTGTTTTCGTTGTTCGTACCTTAAATTGATACAAATAATCTACGAATCTGGAGCAGATGGTGACTGCTTACATTAATTAATTTGTTGCTAGGGCCCAATGTTATTGCGGGTGTGGTATTTCTTACTGCACACTACTGTGTTTTGGTTACCCCTCTTTCAATACATAATTTGGGTTTCATACTGGGATAATGGAATTTAGGGCTATATCGGTTTTCTCCTTTTATAACTGGGTTTATTTAGAAGCATTCAATTCTGTATAATTATGTATTGTTTGAAAAGTTTAAGATTAAAAAAAAATGACAGACTAAATTGTTAATCGTTTAAATTCTAACATTTAACAGTTCTAGAAACCAGTACACCACCCTTCTTTGCCAGTATTTAAAAAAATATGCCAACCAGTTTACTCATTAGAACCATGTTGATCCCTACTGCTTTTTCACATTTTTTAACATCGTTATTCAGTTGATTGTATGTAGTTAAACTCATGGCCCCACGAGATGCACTCCCAGCCCCATCATCCCCGAAGCAGCTGAGAAGAACTGTTTCCTACACAAGGAAACAAATTACAGCCACTCAAACGTTTGGGTGAGTATTTCAAGATATGCTAAATATACGATTGATATTCTTCAGAGTCGTGGATATACGATCAAATCTCCGTCCTCCAATCTTGGCGTTCTTGAATAATCACCTCTTAAACTGTGGCCATATTTTCAAATTCTCAATGTTTCACCCTAGATATTCAGCTGGTCACATTTTGAACGATCTCTGCTCAGCATGCTGGTTCACATATCTTATAATCTATCAGACGGAAGTCAAGCAACAATCGGAAAGTTTTGCTGGGATTCTCATGCTCGTTGGACAGGTACTTCTAATGTCAGCTCATAACAATTCCATTTCGGTTCCAGAACATTATCATAAATAATGTTGATCGTAAATATTCTTTGATGATTGGAATTTGCGGACAGCTACTTCAATTGATGTAAAATCTATAGTTTTTGTGAACATCCCTTAATCTATGGAATTGATTTTCATCAGGTTGCAGACGGATTGGTCACGCCCTTGGTTGGTATTACTATGGATAAGTTCGGTATTAAAAGATATGGAAAACGTAAGACGTGGCACGCTCTAGGAACCTTTGCTGTTATCATATCCTTCGCTTTCATGTTCCACAAATGCTTTGGTTTCGAAGACAGCTCCTCCCAGATACAACAGCTCTATTACGGGTGATGTTAAATATTGACCTTATCCCTTTCTGCTAAAAGATAATTCAGATCCATTAAAATTAAATCTAAGTTTGACCATTTAACTAAAAGAATACATCAATAATATTATTTTGTACCTCCACAGAGCCTTCATAGTTCTGTTCCAAATCGGGTGGGCGAGCACACAGATCTCACACTTGTCCCTAATTCCTGTACTAACAGTTTGTAAGAAAAAAATTGTGTTCCTCAATTCCATCCGGTTAGTGTACATATTCCAGTACAGCATACATCTTGTCAAGTCAAAGTTAGATTTATTATTACCTAATACTCTAATATAGCTTGATGCTTTAAAGCGACTAACCTAACCGATCATTTTAGCCCACTAGTTAGTAGTTATTTTCGAACGATCTTTAGTGTATGTTTCATGCCATTACCTTACCGGTTTTTAACTGCAGCTCATGTCTTACATTCGTTTGTGGAATAGTAGTGTATCTACTAATGGGGCTTCTACTTCACTTAGCTGGATCTAAGGTGGATGCTTTGGGTCCTGGAGATGAAAGAGTTTTTTCGGTTTGTTAATTTTTGTTCGTCAATTCACTTTTCATCCACTCTGTCGGTTTTATCCTCCATTAAAAATACAATGAAATGGAATTTAAAGAAAATCTTAGATTTTTAAATTCTTGATATACAATTTTTCTTAACCATTATTTATTCTCAGTACCTAAGCATAATAGTGATCGGAGTGGGTTTACTATTTTCTTTCGTCTTTCACGTCGTGGTTAGTGAGTCGAGTGAATGTGTCGAGCTGGAAAAGTCTGAAGAACTAGCCGGGGATCAAATCGAACTTGGCCTCACGGACGTAAAAATTGAAACCGAACAAAAACAGTTTACAATAACAAATTGGATGAAATTGAAGCGATTCTATCTGGTAAGCTGATTATGAAATGATTATAATCAATACTGCTTTGCGATTATATAGAAGTATAGAGTTCAGGCGAATGAAAAATCTCGATTGAAGCCTGACGATCGCGAAAATTGATTGAGGGTGCATTAACTCTCTGATCTTGATCTTCTTCTTGTTCAAATGTTCGTAGGTGCTAGGGTGAAGGTGACCACTACAAGATCGAAGTGCTGTGCTTTAACCCCAGTGGAATATAAAAGTTCAATTTATCTATTGTTATTATTATTATATGATCATACAAGCATGAAACAGATGCTGACCCCGGTTGCATTAGGAAAGTTCGCACGAGATGGACCACGTTTTTCCCAATTTAACTTTAAAAGATTGTCACAGGAAGAACTTTTAAGATAGGGAAATGATATTTCACATGTCTTTAGTTCAACTAATTGAGTTTCGATTAATAAAACTTTTGAAGTATTTAGTCGAGGGCAAATTGAGGCTAACGAGTCATTTTACTTTTTTTTTTCTAATGACAGCTTCCAAGCATGCAATAAAAGTTTAAACGTGTTTAATCGATTAGTTCAATCACTCCTCCTGAGTCTCGTGAGTGAGCTAGGAGGTCGCCGGACATCTCATTTTAAAGCCGTATTGATTTTCTATAGCATACTAAAAATCAAATGCGTACTTACTTACTTGTACTTGGAAAGGTCTCCTCCTAGTCGTTGGAGTGGCCTGCACCACATAGTAACTCCTTTCTCCGGTGTATTAGACCTCTCCAGTGAACCCTGTCTGTAGCTTGTTGTTCTGCATCTTCTATCGTGATGTTATCGACACCTGTGAAGATTGCTGCATCCTCCCGGACACATGACAACCAGTTTTTCCTAGGTCTACCTCTTGACCTTTTACCATGCTTTGGGATCCAGTGCAGAAGATAGTTTGGTATTCTTTCTTCTGGCATCCTCACCACATGGCCAAACCATCGGAGTCTAGCTGCTCGTACGAAAGTATCAACAGGGGCGATGTTAGCCCGCTTAAGTACATCAGCATTAGATACATGATAAAACCATTTGATTTTCAGGATTCTCCTCAGACATCTATGATGGAACACCTCAAATCTTTTCATCTGCGTCTGTGTGGTATTCCATACCTCACTTCCATAGAGCAGTATAGTGAGAACAGCCGCTTTGTAAATCCTGATTTTTGTTGGAGTCTTGATGCTGCGACTGTACCATATACTGCTAAGCTGATAGAATGCCCCAGAGGCCTTTTGAATTCGAGCTGATAGTTCTTTGTCAATTGTTCCATTTGCACTGATGATTGCACCCAAGTAAGTGAAATTGCTGACCTGCTGTATTGGGAGACCTTCCACATTGATGTCCATAGTGTCGTCTTTAGAATACGGCCTCTGCGATGCACTTTTGCTGACAACCATGCTCTGTGTTTTTCCAGCATTAATCTTCAGACCCGCATAGGCACTGTATTTGCAGAGAAGGTCAGTGGTTTCCTGCAGCCCCTCTTTTGAGTTATCTAACATGGCCATGTCATCAGCGTAATCAGTGTCCAAGAGATGTTTCTCTTCTACCCCGGGGGCTGGCAGCTGTAATAAAGCCCCCTTGCTAATGACCTTGTTTAGTTCCATAAGGTATGCCGAAAAATTCAAACAAAAGTTGAATACTGGTGGTCCCTGTATATCACCTTGCCCAGTACCCGAGTTGACATCAAACCAACCTGTAACCTCTCCATTGACCCTAACAGCACTAACTGTGTGAGTGAAGAACGCCTTCATAATTCTAATGTACTTGTCAGGTAAGCCGTAGTGCTGCATACTTCTCCAAATGAACTGCCTGTCAATCGAATCAAAAGCTGCTTTGAAATCAACAAAATTAATATACAGAGGGATATTATACTCAATGCATTGGTGTATAATACAGCGGAGTGAATAAACCTGGTCAATACATGAGCGATTCTGTCTAAAACCACTTTGATTCTCCCGGAGGAATTTTTCCATGCCATTGCTAAGTCTCCGCAGGAGTATCATTTGCAGGAGCTTCGAGGCTGTGGATCTTAATGTAATGCCTCTGTTGTTAGCGCAATGAGAGGTGTCACCTTTCTTTCCAACGATGATGATAACACCTTTGGACCAATCCTCAGGAATCTTCTCATCTTCCCACACTTTCTTGAACAACACAACTAGTTGATCGACCAACCCATCCTGTCCATACTTAAGTTGCTCGTTGGTGATACCATCCACTCCTGGACTTTTGTGATTCTTGAGTTTTTTGAGGGCATCAACAATCTCGTTTCTTGTAGGAGCTTCATCCGAATCGGAAAGGTCGTCAAAACTGGGTTGCGGAGGGATGTTGTCTAGGTCAGAAATATTGGCCTCTTGCGGGGGAGGGTTCAATAGCCTAGAGAAATGCTCTTTCCACCTTTCTTTCTGGGCATGTGGGTCGGCAATCAACTGGCCAGATACGTCTCTAACTGCAGTTGACTGCTTCTTCTTCTTTCCAGATATGACATTGATCTTCTGCCATACCTCACGTTGCTGACCTTTTCTCGCAGCTTCTTCCAAGTCATTGGCCATTCTACGTGCCCAGTTGTTATCGTCCACCTTGCTATCTTTTTTAAAGAGCTTATTCAATCTAGAATACTCTGACCTGTTAGCGTTCGAATTAGGGTCTTTACGCTTAAATTCCTTACGGTTCTTCAATAATTCTTTTGTCTTCTGAGATTGGTGCCTGTCCTTCTTTTTTCGAGGTCTTTGCCCAAGAATTTCCATGGAAACTTGTTGGACAGTTGTCTTGAAGTTGTCCCACATTGATTCCAGGTCAACCTCAGGTTCCAAACAGTCAAATTTGTTTCTCAGAACAATATTGTATTCGGAAACAAGTGAATGATCACGCAGATGCTCAATAGCAGGAATCTCAAGCTTACGTTCCTGCTTCTTTTTCACTGACATAAGCTTCATTCTCAGTCGTGCTCTTACCAAATAGTGATCAGACCCAATGTCAGCCCCCCTACAAACTTTTACATTTAGTAAAGAGCCTCCAAACTTCTTACTGATACAGATGTGGTCTATTTGGTTTACAGTACGACCATTAGGCGATCTCCACGTACCTTTATGTATATCCTTTTGCTGAAACATAGTGCCACCGATGGTAAGTTGGTGGGCAATGCAAAAGTCCAACAATCGGGTACCATTGTCATTTGATGAGCTGTGAAGCGAGTGTCCACCAATGACACCTGACATAGAACTGCAGTCCGATGTGACCTTAGCATTAAGATCACCGAGCAGTAATTTTAAATCATGTCGGGGTAGCTCATCGAATGCACTTGACAACTGTTGGTAGAATTCATCCTTATCATTATCTGAAGCCCCCTCAGTTGGCGCATATGCCACAACAACAGAGATGTTCAGGTGTTGACTATGCAGCCTTGCACTCAACAAACGGTCAGATATTGGTAGATAGGAAATTAATGAATTTTTAGTCCTCTTTGAAAGGGTAAGACCGACACCTCGCCTTCTTATACCGTCCGTCCTCCCTGAATAAATAAGTAAGGAGCCATTATCCAGTAGCTCTGATCCTGTACCAGGCATATGGGTCTCAGTTATACCCAGCAAGTCCAACTTATACTCAGAGATATTCTCTGATAGCTGGAACAACTGACTTGAACTACTTGTCAGAGATAATACATTCCATGTCCCAAATGTAAGACCTGTTTTAGAATAATTCGCTGGCTGTTTCTTATTAGAGTCAGAGTCCACATGGGTGATCTGTGGAGAAATAAATCTGCTACAATGACGTGTTCTCCCAACACTCATCTGGCCACGGGGGTCCCTTAGGCTTTGCCCCGCCACCTTCATACTGGTATCATCCGTCCTTGCAGAGGGAGCCACACACCGTTTCTTGTTGTTACTTTGTGATGTTTCTGCAGCAAATGTTTAGAGAGGAGAAGTTGCCAGCATCTCGCACCCGGTTTTTTATCGACCTTTGCCTGTCTAGATCCATAGTGTTTTGTTGCACGTCATCTGTTTAAACTGGAGTCACCCAGGACAGATTACAATGCTTAATAGTAGCACCTCGAAAAGGATGTGATTCTTCATCACGCACTATGGTCATTGGAATAGGAGAGGTTATCATGGTTACACGATCACTATTCCCTGAGATTAATAATAATCTCTTGCCACCATCAAATGCGTAACTAAAACAAAAATGAAATTCCAGAAGTTTTAATTTTTTTGGTCAAAAAACGAACTTTTAAGGGTGTTTCTAATGACCAGGGTCTGCCACATTATTATTATTAAATGTTCGATCACCACTACCGAATGGTATCAAGAGCTGTATCCTCAGGTCGGACTGATGTACATGTTTACTCGGATAGCAATTAACGTACCCCAAGTTTATCTCCCTCTTTACCTCATCTCCACCTTATCCCTCAATAAAGAAAGTATAGCTTACTTCCCTTTAGTAATGCTTATTTGTAGTGTGATCGGGAGTTTCTTGACACGACCCCTGACAAAGTTGTCAGGAAAAAGAGTGGCTTATATTTGTGGAGCTACTCTTGTGGTGGGCAGTTCTTTCTGGTTCTATTTCCAGGTGAGTTGTTAATGTGTTCAACCTGTCATTAAAGCCAATAAACTCAGACGGCAGTGACTTAGTTGATGGGATTTATAAGAACTGATACGTCAGTCGTCATCAGATGTCTGTTTCATTGGATTAAACTGTAAACTGGTTTCAGTCGAAGGATGATCCTAACCCAACTTACGGAGCGACAGCGTGTATTGGGGTGGGATGCAGTATCATGTTGATCTTATCTCTCAGTATGACAGCAGATCTTATCGGTGGTCACACGGTGAGACCTCTTATTAACATTACCCACAATAATAAAGTTTTAAAGCAATGCCTCACTTTCAGTCTTCACTTCAGTCCAAAAACGCACGGTCAACAGTATTTAAGGATTTAATAATACCTTACCACCGAGGATCCAGCTGAAATATGTATAATGTAAAGAATATTAAGCTTCATAACATCTTGTAATTTTACTGTTCAAAAGTAAAATGACTGAAACTTTTGACTTTAAACAATTAATAAAAACGCAGCCTATTCTGATACGATATCAAAATTTTACACACATCTTGAAAAAGATATGAATAAACTTCGTGCAACATTTCAGCTCCATATCACAAGAAATTATTGACTTATAGCCTTTCAACAAAACAAATTGTGCTTTCCCGAAAAATGCACTTTATATTAACCAGGAATTGGAAATGCTCAATTTGAATTACAGAAAAAGTTTTTTATTTTTTTAAATTGTTTTTTGTGGAAACGGTGCGCTAGATGGTCACTTAACTTCCTATGAGGTCATTTAGGCTGGACATTTTTGGTGTATGCCCCCTTAAGCAACTTTGGCAACTCTTAAAATTCTTACACTTGGCGAGCATAGGGCCTCAAATTCCCTTCAGGGGCTTAAGGCCTCGTCTTCCCTATCTACAAAAAATATACAGTATTATTAAACCTGAGTAAAAGGTGAAGAAAAATTTCGAAGCCATTTTCATGTCGTTCTTCAAACAACAACAGTTATTTACATCTGAATTCATAGAAAGTATACCTGTTCCTATGATCACGTGACTTTCACCAGGACACAGCAGCATTTGTGTACGGATCAATGTCCCTGGTGGATAAACTGTCCAATGGTATACTAATAGCTCTGATACAACACTTTCATCCAGAAAAGTGTAATCCTGATTTGGGACCCTGCTCGACTAATGGAGCTCAATACTACAGGTATCTAGATATCAAATAATGTACCGGTTAAGTTCCTCGAATTCTTCAAGAGTTTAGTAACCACTGCATCCCTGTAGGTACACGATGTCAGTAATACCGGGCACTGCTGCTCTACTGGCAGCCTTGTCAACACTCCTACTATCTTTTGTAGTCGAGAGATGTCCCCATACCACTCAAATCCAAAACCAAAATGGTAGGTGCAGTTTAAGAATTAAGCTTTCAGTCTCAGTTCTTTGCATTCTTGATATTAAACTGTTAATCTTAACCATTTTTATCCGTCTTCAGAATCCGTTTTTAAAATTTGTGATCTATGACCAATATCAATAACAAAATTTAAACCTATTAACCTATAATAACTTTTAATCTATTAGGGGGGGGGGGGGGTTGGGGGGGAGTTCAGCCTGAAATTTTTGTGAAACTTGATTCTGATATAGCAGTTGACCAACAAACTAGGACCTGTGACCAAACTTTTGAGGGGGTCCCGGACCCCAACCGACCACCGTAGGGCCTGTCGTGATATCATGGATTGCTTAGGTTCCACCAGGATCTGGTAGTCCTCATGATTCTGCGGCCTCTATGTATCGTCATCTCGCACAACTCTTTAAGAATCTTGTGAATTTGGCATGTGAAAATGTGCAGGCTTCCAGACATTGATCGGGTCAACGAGGTGTCGTACGTCACCTCAAGATCGGGTGACAGGGGGGTAACCAGGCCAGAACCCAATTGATTGGGTCTGAGGTCACGTGATTATGATCTTATTGATCCACGTCAACATGGGTTTATGAGTAGAAAATCCTGCACAACTCAGCTAGTAAATTTCTGTGACAGCTTTATAGCCCTATCTCTCAATGACAATGTTCGCACTGAGCTATTCCCACGATAGAAATCCTATTTTGATTCACGGCCGTGATGAATGGATTTCCAGTAGATTTCATTCGAAGTCGAATCACTTCGGGCTTATCTTGATAGCTTTGAGCTATTGTAAACCAATTGCTCCTCTTCTCACTAACTATCGGACGATTTACGTACTAAAGTTCGATAATGAAAGTTCGTGGTTTTCGAATGTCACTATACTACTATACTTAAATGAACGTTATAAATTCGAGATCCTGGTGGAACCTACTAACCTACAGGTGGACATGACAAGGATTAAGTTTCCTAAACTTATGCGGAAAAATTCAGAATTTGGCCACCAAATCACAAATCTTTTCAATGAATACTGTTCTGATGACTAAAATATCTAAAATTTCAGTTGACGAACAGGGAGGTAACAATGATATTGTTATATCTAACGCAGCTAGGGAGGTAGAGGAGCGTGAAGATATAGAATCCAGTAAAGAAGACTAGGAGAAAAGGAGACAACAGGTAAAGATGAGGCCACCACCACGTGGGAATAACTTTTAACATCTGTCTCGATCAAAACAGTTTTAATTTGTATATGGACACGTTCTTTTGAGTTTGAGGATATTATGAAACACAAATAATAGCGTTTTCGACGATAGTGGCTTAATTTTGGCATCTATTAACCTAGCACGTTCAGAAGTTCTGAACATTAACTATGTGACCCATACTAATTACTGCTTTACTGATACTCCCATATGCACTGCTCAGAAATAAAATTTATTGTTGTTAGGCACTTTAATGTTGAAAATGTCACATTTTTAAAACTTAGTTAACTGTAGCTCCCCAATTAACATTGCTTGGTCTGAAATATATTAGATTAGGTCAATCTAACAATCTTAACATTGTCACAAAAATTATGTGACGAAGTCAACATTTCTTGTCCCTATTTTGAAGAACTATACCTATATTAGAATTCAATTGTCTTTCAGAAATAATTGCAGTAGATTATTTTCCAGCACATCAGAACTCAAGTTAAACAATGTTAAGTTAAATTTTGCTTAGTCATTAAAAATTTGGTGAATGATTTTTCAGTAGATTTAATAATTTTATAATCGAATCATTTTTTTGTAAATGGAATATAACATTTGAACAAAACCCATAATTGGACGACCGTCCGCAAATGCAAAATGATATTGATACCGAGAATGAAATCGGTCGGTCGCTTTTCCCATTCATTTACAATTGTAATATATTAAGAAGAACTACCCGAAGGCAGCTTTGTAGGTTTATAATCTACCAGGACGCGCGCCGAGTTGGACTCGTCGACGGTCTAATATATGGAACAGATATTTTACGAGTATCACCCGTTAAAGGCAGCTGTACTCGGCAATAACGATTCAGTTAACATCAGCTAATATTACACTAACTAGCGCCCTTATCCCGAAAATGAAATACTTTACCTGGGGACCTCAGGCTATCATGTTTAGGCGGAATGACAGGCTGAGCGCGGCCCACTCCCAGTAAGAAATACTACATACTAGGTTAAGGTATCAACCCGAAAACAACCCAAAGAGATTTTTAAGGCATGTGATTAATGTAATTAATCGAAACTTATTACAATTTGTAAGCCGTGAATGAATGGGAAAAGAGACCGACTTAATATCATTTACTTTTGTTTGGGAACGAAAGTGGAAAGACACTGGCAGCGGTCCACCCTACTCAATTATGGGTTTTGGTCATTTTTAGCGCCTAAAATTCGATTAGCTAGTTCATCATCATGGATTATTCTAATCAGCCCAGTACATAATCTGCACTGAAATTAGATTTTGATGATCAGAAGAGTGGTAACACTCATTTTGTACTGCAGTTAAGTTCGAGATTACCTGGCATGCCAGTCCCTGTGCGCGGTGCTCTTTTCAAGCTTCCTACTTGAGAGAAGCGAGCATGAGAGTTGAAAGTCTCAACTCTCATGCTCGCTTCTTAACTTGAGACTATATAGCAAGCTGGGTAAAGTTCGAAACTGTGGTGATTTTCTATGCGTCCGCGCTTCCGATACAAATTGGCCTTCTAAATTATTAAATTGGCTGTTCACTCTTGATACTTTAGTTTTACCTCTTGCCTTGACCATTGTTAATGATCTGGCCCGGCGCGCGCTACTTCGTAGCTCGTGCCGTCGAGAAGAAAGCGGCGCGCGCTACTTCGAAGAAATTTAGACGAGTAACATCCGTCAACCTCTTGCCATATTCCATAAGTATAACATGCATCGTCATGACTAGATTCCTCTACTCTGATATGATAAGAAAATCTTAGAAACTGCCTGATCTAACTTTTGATTTGACAAGCAATGAAGCAATAGTTGTTTCTTCAACAAGTACTGGACGGTAACGTAGCATGCATCCTGTTTCTACGATAGACGACAACAACAAGGACAGCCACCTGGAGGATAATTAGAGACATATATTATAAATGGGACCATTACTGGGCTGCGCTCAGCCTGTCATTCCGCCTAATAATAATAATAGCCTGGGGTCCCCAGGTAAATGGGACCATTAAAATGAAAATTATGCTAACCATAAACCACCTTTACCGCGTCACAACAATAATCAATATCATCGCGCTTATGCACTCAAATAAAAAAAGGAAGATTTACTTATATTCAATGTTGCTGCTCTAACTGTTCCTAGCTACATTCTGCATGAAAATAATATTTATAAATATAATTATAGTGTATAGGAATTTATACGCTCTCAAATTATAGCTTTAACGAACAATATAAATGTAATCGATCACTTAACGCGATTGATATGTGAGCGGGTGATACAGGATACTCGTAAAAGATTTGTTCTAATATTACTTGGCGGCGCTCAGCCTGTCATTCCGCCGAATCTTTATACATAATAGCCCGGGGTCCCCAGGTAATTCCAATACCGTCGACATGGACAAGTTCAACTCTGAACTCGGCGCGCGTCTTCAGTCTTGCCCTTACCTGGGGACCTCAGGCTATCATGTTCATAAACATAGAATAAAGATTCGGCGGAATGACAAGCTGTCATTATGCCCATCATAAATCTAATAAATCTAATATAAGACTTCTAAGATGAAAACTCAAGGCGATGTGTTTTAACTAACGTCAACTAGTGATATTCCCCAATTAATTAAATCCTCTTTATGAACTATTTCCTCCACGACTATTTCTTCTTCAATCGTGAAATTGAATTGGAGCGGACCATATCTTCTTTCTGTCGTTTCAAAAACGCTGATTTAAAATAAGACTGAGATTAGCCCCACTTAAAAATTCCTAAAAACCATAATATAAACCAGATAATGACTAATTAGGAATTAAAAATTGTCCAATTCAATTTTCCAGAACTTACAAAATAATTGACGAGCGTGCTAAATCACTCTACAGTCGATCTACAAAAAAACTGTCTCGATCACGTGATATGACCGTATAAGGAAGTTAGCCTAATTTATCGTTAGGGTTTCAGCATATGCTTTTGTTAAGGATTGGAATCAGATTAGAGGGTTAGGGTTTCGAATAGTATAGTCGTTCAGGACCATGCAGCTAGAGAACGGGTTGAAAAAGTCACGTGACAGTAGTGATTAAATTAATCGTACGTACGTACGTACGCGCGCGCGTGATTCTCGCATTCAGTTAATCTATGACAGAACACCTTTTTACAGCAAATTATGATTTGGCGGTCGCGATCGCCGTCATTTTCAGGCTCGCGAATATTCTTTTAAACTTCACAATTTCTAAATTTTTCATTTCAGCTTTTAAACTACAGTACTATGGATAATTTACTTGAGATGATTTGTGCACTATTTCAACAATGCAGTCTTGTAACGCAATTCGAATGGTGGAGCTGCAGGCATTTTTTGATCAGGTACTTTAGAGATCGTTTTCTTAACCATTTAATCTAAATAAATAAATCAAATAAATTTAAATACCTTCCAAAGATTAGTAGAATTGTATAGTATGTCTGCTCTTTACAATACGCAATTTACATGATTTAGTTCAAAGAAGAGACAGTAAACAATTAAACACAAATGTACCTCATTATAACTTCATAGTAATATCGTGACAATAACTTAATAATAACTCGGAACTAAATATAAATGGGACAAACAGCTGCTACAAAATAACAGCATTTAATCAATATATTAAGTCCAGTACATTTTAAGCAGAAGTCCTCAATATATCGAGAAAACACTGAGACTCAATCCTCAAATCTTAGGAAATTTAGAAATGCGTGAGAATAATCCAAATGATGAGCTGCAGGATTGTGTATCGTTGAAGATATTCAAATTATTTAGCGTCCTTTTTGCCATACTTGAACTTGTAGAGAGCAAACGCTCCAATGTACAACCCGTAGGTAGCGAATACGACATTTCTTCGGCCTGTCAAGGTTGAAATATTAACAACAAAATTAAGGATTATTATTTTCATTTATTTTCAATACCCAATCAACAGAAATTATTTGATTGGTATGTATTATAGCTAGGGTCTTTATCTTGGGATATACATAAACCAAGGGAAAGTTACCACGAAATACTGACCACGGATAGTGACGTTGTTGAAGTTGGGGTTTGCTCCGGCGGGAAGTGCTGCTTCACCCATATTTAGATTAGAGAACTTTGGCTACAAATTAGGGAGGGTTAGTGATACTGTAGAGACCAATTGTCGTAATTCAGGTCAGAATAGTTGATATGTAAGTAAAAATAAAGTAAACATGAAATGAAATATTTATATCCCGCTTATAATAACAACCAGTATTATGGAAAATAACAAGAATTGCCGACTACAAAGTTTAAAATACATGTTAATCAAAATGGTTATCACACTGTATATAATCGAAACCACTAAATCGTTAATCGATGTACAGTGTATGTCGGTATACAGTGCGCAAATCGCCAGAATACATGCAATGTCTGCAGTAGGTGGTTTGGGTGTTGACACAGGCCACAGCCCGGGTGCTACCATAGCGTTATATATTCTCAGCACTGAGCACCTTGTATTTAAGATATTTTTGCTGATTTTGATGGTTTTAGCAATTTGGGATATATACAATTATTTGTATAATTCCTTTTCTGTTTTCAGAACATCCCTGCCAACTATTCAACAGGTCATGAATTTTCAAGAATGATTATATGCTTAGCTGACAAAATACCACGCAACACATTTCTATCCGCAATACATTCAGATGAAAATTCAACTTATCACTTTCCTCCTGGTCAGCTACTCATTTTCCAACGACACTTTTAGTACCTCCCGGAACTTGAAAAGTGCACATAAGACAAGTTTGTTTTAACACTTAACAACATTCAACCTATTATCATTCAGTGGAAACTAATTATAATTCTAAATTATAATATATAACGTGTTATTCCAAACCACTTGTACCACCTGTTATACCTCCCTAGACAGCATGGTCTTTAGTTAACTATGTTAGAGCAGTGCTGGTATAGTGTATCATGTTAACTATGTTAGAGCAGTGCTGGTATAGTGTATCATGGTAGAGTAATGAGTTACAACATTGTGCTGAGCTCGGTTAATGTGCTTCCTGCTGCGCTGTGTACTGTTTATTGAACTCAGTTGCAGTTGTATAGTAGTTTCTTTGCTAGTACATTTGTGTTCTCTCGCTTTTTATAATGTAGAACAATCACCGTTTCCAGCTTTGTTGACATCTTGATTAACTTGACAATTGTAGAAGGAGTTTTGCTGTTATAATAATGATAATTCTGATAACCACAAACTCTTTATCATAGATTTGTTACGTTTATATTTATTCATTTAAATATTACTGCTTTATAAAACTTTATTTTATCAATTTACTAGAAAGCCCGTGGTAACAGGGATGAAGCTAGTAGTTTTCTATTTCTTTGGCAGTCAGTTTTAATCGTATCAAAAAGTATTCATCCCCACCGAAGATACAGTCGATCTAAATGTAGCTCGCACTGAACACAACGTAATTACCAAAAAACCGATCAAAATGTCGCTCGCCAATCTTTAAACGTGCACGTTCAATACCGTTACCATGGTTACTATACAATTTTATTTGTTTACCTAATTTGCACGTGGGCGGTCGTACATACATTCTACAGACAGAAAGATTGGCTAATCTGACGTTTATCAGTATTTTTAATCATATTCAGAAACTTTCATACATCCTAGACATGCATACTCAAACGTTCCTATTTGCCCTTCTGCTCTCTGCATGTTGCCTATTCTATATGGGTAAGTTTTACTGGACGTGCTGTTTAGTGTTTAATATCTATAAAACACTTTCCACGTGACCACTTATTGAGCATATGTAAAAAGCTAGTACACTATTCAAGTTTAAATTTGCCTCAGAAACGCCACAATATCACTCTGATACAATAATAAACATTTCGGGTAGATATTACAAGGTGTCTTTATTCATCATAAATAATATTGAAAAAACATACTACATATAAACAACATTCTGCAGGTGAGAGCAAACTGTCTTGTTATCATTGTACAAAACAGATAACGGATAAAACAACAACATCGTACATGGAATATAACACTGGAACTCAGGCCAGCGAGTGCGCAGAAAAGGAATGCAGTGATGTGAGTCAATTTTGAAAATTTCCCAGTCAACACTTGACCTGACTTTTAACTTGGTACCAGAAATATGATTATAAATAGAAATGCTTTAAAGTTTTACTCTTGATCTTATTATTGATCTTATATACGAGATGTGTTTTAATTTTCAATGTAAATCTTGACAGGACACCGATGAATGCTTCTCGCTTACAACAACAGCATCATCGGAAGGGGAGACAAGTGTTAGTGTACACATGAGCTGTGGAACAACAACTAAGGGTCAGGACTGTAGTTATTTTCTAATCTATGTCAAACTCCAACTGTGCCCATTTGTCTATGTTTGTAGATTTGCATTAATCTTTGATACACTAATACTGTAATCTTATTGTTTACATTTAACATTGTTCCCTTCAGATGAAGCTTGTACTGAAGTCGGTGGCCTAAACGTGGCTACTTGCAAGTCTGATTGGACATGGAAGATCTGCAAGAAAGATCTGTGCAACAGCGGCAGTGCATTTCAACCTATGCTGATTCTGATGGCTTTAACAATTGTTGCAGCCTTGTTTTCATATTAGATTATTTCCTTCATTATTTTTAACACCAGTTTAAAAGAAGCGAATTTTAACTATTATCAACTTTGAGTATACTGAGCTGAGCAGACTCTACATTTGTAATAGACATTTTTATGGTTAGAACCCTTTGAATGCTTTCATGTATAATTTGTTTTGTTAATAGCTATGATACAGGGTGGCCCATAAGTGACTACCCACACGCAACCTCTTAATAACTCACGTAATTCGTCTCCAAATTGCACCAAAATTTCAGAGATTATAGATATGGGTCAAACTTAGATTTCCTGAAAGTTTCGTAAGCCACGCCCAATTACAGTGGGCGTGGCGTGACACTCCCTCTTTTTCACTATTGTCTTCATAAAATGAGAACGCTTTAAGCTAAGAACTCCAAATTTTTTGCACACATTTGGCTTGATAATTGAAAACCTTTCCCAAAGTTTCAAGTTCATTGGTTAAAATATGGCTAAGTTATGACCATTTCAAAACTCATAGGATACGTGATCCGAGCACTCAGTCAGTGATCTCGTCACTTGGTTAATGGCCTGTTTGGCTCACATGCACCGCTTGATTGGTTGCAGCCTGCTTATGGGCCGGCCTATACAGCTGACAGCACCTAAAACGCTATCACACGAATTTATGGTGGTGTCACCATTTCAGTTTTCAATGGTTTACTGCAGAACAACGATTGTTCGTCTACCTGAAGAAAGAAAATGGGGAGTTCTACCCTCAGATTAAACGACAATTTCAGATGAAATTCAACCGACCACCCCCTTGCCGGAAAAGCTGCTTTGACATTCATCACAAGATCAAGTTTACGTTTTCTGCACACGATCGGCGAAGAGTCGGCAGAAGACGAACTGCGAGGACTGTAGAAAACATCACGATGGTTGTTGGTGACGTGATGGACACACCTAAGATTGGCACCCGGAAACGAGCTCCTGCCTTAGACCTCAGCAGAACAACCCTTCAGCGAATCCTAAAGCAAGACCTTTCTAACCGGGCCTACCGAATCACAAAGAAACACAAACTTTTGGACCGTGATTTCCAATCGAGGATAGATTTCGCCAACACATTCCTTGAACATCTTAATTGAAATTATTGAATTGTTTTTGTGTGGGAATTTTTATTAGTTGATTTCATTTATTGATTTATCCTAAAAATTTGTGTTTTCCTTTCTAGAAAAGACATCATCGGTATCCAATCAAAGCCTAATGAACCTCATTAATACACGCTAACGCCTTACTCTTGATCAGATTGGGTGACGAGATCACTAATTGAGTGCAAATATCACTGACTGAGTGCTCGGATCACATATCCGATGGATTTTAAAATGGTCATAACTCAGCCATATTTTAATCAATGAACTTGAAACTTTTGGAAAAGTTTTCAATTATCAAGCCAAATGTGTGCAAAAAATTTTGAGTTCTTAGCTTAAAGCGTTCTCATTTTATGAAGACAATAGTGAAAAAGAGGGAGTGTCACGCCACGCCCACTGTAATTGGGCGTGGCTTACGAAACTTTCAGGAAATCTAAGTTTGACCCATATCTATAATCTCTGAAATTTTGGTGCAATTTGGAGACGAATTACGTGAGTTATTAAGAGGTTGCGTGTGGGTAGTCACTTATGGGCCACCCTGTATATATACCATGTTCATGCCCATTATATATATTGGTTTATATATGACTCACTAATAATGAAAATACTTATTACAATAGTACAAGTTAAAAACTCACACCTCGAGGATCGAGCTCAACAATAACTGTCCAACAAAACTTCAGCCACCACAAAATTTAGTCATTAGCCCTAATCTGATCAAAACAACAGAATATGAAATAAAATAGCGGCATTGCTATAGAGACCTACCGGGCTGTTTGCCACCTGTTTTCGATCTAATAGCTATCATATTTCTCTACCGGTACGTTCCCTCACTGAATTAGACACACAACTCTCTTCTCAACAGTGTGCTATAAGGTTCTCCATTTCTTTGTGGGTTGTTTCAAATCACGTGGTTTAGACCGTTATTTAAAGTTGTGAAGTATGGCAGCGGCAGATAGAGTGATTTTGCTTCTTCTACTGCTTTCATCATTAAGCCTTTTCTATTTGGGTAAGTAAAAAGTTCTAGGAATGCTACACCTAGAGGCAGGCAAAGCATCTTCATGTTATCCTTAAGTAGGCTACCAGGTCCAGCCTCTTTCAAAAAAATTAAAAAAAAACCTTATCAATTTTAACATTCCCTAGATGTAATTAGCATATTATCTCAATTTGAACAATCATATTAAAAAGATATTCTGACAATTATGAAGGAATGCATTTGAACCATAATATTTAAATTTAACTTTTTAACTAAAATATAGAGCTGAGTGATCCATGTTTATGATTTGTCATTTCAGGAAAGACTGAAGAAAAAATAACTTCAGACAAATTTACATGTTATGATTGTATCAAACAAAAGATCAAGGGCCATGGAACTATCAATATTTTGTCTAGTGACGATGGTAAACTGATCAAAGAGTGTGGAAAGATTGAGTGCAATACCACAAAGGTAAACCTTCTGTTTTTAAGATTAATAGGAAGTTTGGAAGAGTCTGGTTGGTTTAGAATGACAAATAATTAGGATTTCTTTACTATATTTTAAACTTGAAATCCCCCCCCCCCCCCCCCCGGCAATGGGGACATGAGCTAGCACTCTAGCAAATGGAGTTGAAACATCGTGATTTTTAGCAGGGTTGTAGAAAAAGGACAGGAATAAGATATAGCATTGTTAGAATTTTGATTTAGGCTTTAGATTTTTTATAATTGATGTCGGAAGTGAGGTAAAATAAACATTAGAATAATGGCGTAATTTTAGCAAAGTTTTACCGTGTCTTTACTAAGCAAAAATTGCATGTGCGCGAGCAACCACAGCTACAGATTAGCAATGCGTGTTGCCATGCTTTATGATACGTCATGACTAGCTCACATTTAAGCTCAAGATTATTACTATTCATAACTTTGGTTGTGACTGATATTTTTTGATGCAGTATTAAAAAGTATTGTTTAGGAAATCTGAATACTTAAAGTAAAAAGTATTGTTTATGAAATCTGAATACTTAAAATAAAAAGTATTGTTTAGGAAATTTGAATACGGGTATCGGCCTTACAAAATGACACGAAAAAGGAGATGGCTCTGAAATGCACAAAAATGAGTTTTGTTCATGTTTTATTATCCAGATAGGTAGTTCAACAGGTATATTTTTCTTCCCGGAGGTTGATTTGATTGAAAAACCGTAAATTTTGCGATAAAAATTGTCATCTTTGAAATCTTCCAAAAAAACATGCCTTACAAAATGACAATTTCGTCACGGCTGTCATTTTTTAACAGCAGCCTATAGAAATTTGATTTCACCTAGGACAGTTAGATAAATATAATAGATTGAAGATTAGAATAGCTTTTACAGGAAAAAAGATGATTAAAAAAAGTTGGGCAATTTCGCGTGAGATAGTGCCTTACAAAATGACAACCCAAAACGGCATCACTTCAAATCCGATTTGGGAAAAAGTTTCATTATTCTTTCACGTGTCTTACTGTTAGATATATATGTTGTTTATATTATACCAGTTCTGTTTTTACTAGAATATATTAAAAAAGGAACATTTTTTATACTTTGAAAAAATTATAAAAATGTCATTTTGTGAGGCGTAAAAATCATTTTTTGTTTTCATACTTGAACACAGTATTTGGTTATATTTGATATTTTCTATGACTGGATAGATCACTTTTCAGTGTTTAGTTAACGTTTGACATGTTTTAGGAGTTGTTATTACTCTCTGCTTTCACAAAATAGAAGCTTTATTTCGTTGAGTTTTGAAATCAGAGTTTGAAATCAAAGAGTTTGAAATCAAAGTTTTGATATCAGAACTGCACTCTTTTAAGGGGGCAGGGGGGGGTCTTTATGAAATTTCTCTCGAAATTGATTTTATAGTTGTTTCTGATAGAGGGGAGTGATATTTACCAGATGTTTTTGGTCCCATGGAAAAAATTTGTTCCTAGCCGAAATTATTGCCGGTCAAAGGTCAGCGCTCATGTGTAATTGTATTGCGCAAGCGATTTTCAATCGCGCGCCCTGAAAATCGAGTCTAAAAATCTATCTTCTCCTACATTTTTTGAGCAATCATCTTGAAACTTTCAGGATATGTTCTAAGGACCATTTAGAAACTTCTGGTCTCTCAGAATTTTAAAATAGGCCTTAGAAAAGTTTTTATTCGATTTTGAAAATCTTGGACCTCGTTTTTTGACGATTTTTTCAGGTCCAAGATTTTCAAAATCGAATAAAAACTTTTCTCAGGCCTATTTTAAAATTCTGAGAGACCAGAAGTTTCTAAATGGTCCTTAGAACATATCTTGAAAGTTTCAAGGTGATTGCTCAAAAAATGTAGGAGAAGATAGATTTTTAGACTCGATTTTCAGGGCGCGCGATTGAAAATTGCTCGCGCAATACAATTACACATGAGCGCTGACCTTTGACCGGAAATAGTTTCGGCTAGGAACAAAATTTTTTCATGGGACCAAAAACATCTGGTAGATATCACTCCCCTCTATCAGAAACAACTATAAAATCAATTTCGAGAGAAATTTCGTAAAGACCCCCCCCCCTGCCCCCTTAATGCTACTTGATTGTTAACTGTCAGATTATGATTATTTTTAACTCCTTCTTGTATTGACTGTTTCTGATCCATTTTAGATGATGAAAGTAATTCAATCTGAAACATTGTCATTTTGTAAGGCTTTTCAGTGTCATTTTGTGAGGCATTTTGATCAAAATTGATGATCAAACAAACACATTTAGGCTCATCATAAGCTTACTGGGTTTAAGAATACCAATAATTAGGCAAGGGGCATCCAATATAAATATGCCATCTTTGTATCATAAAATAAAACTGTCATTTTGTGAGGCATAACACTGTCATTTTGTGAGGCTAGGTCATTTTTTTGTCATTTCTTCTACCAAAGTCACTAAATCAGTTTTTTTATTTGACCAGAGTAGTCTTTGATTGACATAAGTCATGGTAGTAACTGGTTTTCTGGGGTTAAATTCTAAACTTTGGTCTCCATTCTGGGTAACAGTTAGGCGGGGCAATGACTGAACAGCAAAAACGTC